TATATATATATATATATATATATATATATATATATATATATGTGTGTGTGGTATGATTTGATTTCATTTGATTATTTAATTCTTTTCAATTTATTTTATCGATCGTGTAGAAATAAAAAGAAGAGAAAATAAAAAGTATATTTATATTTAATTCGACTTCATTGAATTATTTTATATATACGTATATTAATATATAATTTATTTATTTCTTCCTTCCTGTTCTATTTTATTTGTCAAGAATAATACTAATCGATTTTATACGATTCTATAAATGGCTTTACCATTCATTGAATGAATATTCAATATATTCTTGAAAATAATCGTCGATTTAATTTAAATTAATACGATATTCCATTTAAATAATATATACTATTAAGTTAAAAATGTAGTCCTTTATAATTATAATTTTAATTATATTTATATATGTGTTGTATTTGTATTTGTATAATTTACAATTATAATTATAATTATATTTGTATTATTTATAATATAATATAATTATATTGTATTATACAATATATTTACAATTACATATTTAATTAAAAATTTAATAAGAAATAAATTTTTATTTAACAAAAAATTTTAATAAAATTACACTATTATAATTATTGTAATAATAATTATTATATTATTATATTAATTTAATTAATTAGTATATTATTCTATAATTTAATAATTATTATAATAACAATTTTATTATATTATTTTGTTAATTAAAAATTCCAATATATAATTAATATTTTTAATTATATAGTATTATATACACATCAATATAATATTATTAAATATATGATTATTAAATAATATTCATCTAATTATTATAATTATAATTATATTATTAATAATAATAAGATAATAATAATAATAATAATAAAGATATGTGGGTTAATTAAGAGATCATTAAAAGAGAATCGAGTTTAATTCTTAAATAAGCTTTTCCGATCATTAAAAAAAAAAAAAAAATAAAAAAACAGGAAAAAGTTGTGAGAGAAATCCGGTGTTGTTGCTTGCTTGCGTTACCGGTTCAATATATATATATATATACGTGAAATAAATAAAAAAATAAAAAACTAATACAAAAAAAAACGTCGAAAGAATTAAAAAAAAAAAAAAGAAAGAAAGGAAAGAAAGGATTGTAAATGTTTGGTATGAGGATTGATTGCGTTTTCCGCTTTTAAGATCCAGTTCTTCTGGATTTGGAAGTCCGGTTGTTGGTCAAGCTGGCTAACACTGCAGCAAAAGTCGATTGCTAACTTTCCAAACTACGTTTATTTTTACCAAGAACACACACACATACACACACATACACACACGTACAAATATATGAAAAGAAAAGAAAAGGAAGAGAAAGAAATAAAAAAAGAAAAAGAAAGAAAAAAGAGGGAAAGGACAAAGATAAGAAGAAATTCCATATTAAATTAGTATGCGTGTTACGTACATTCAATTCATATATCTCATACCCCATACCCCATAAACCCCATATTACTTGATATGATTATACTATTATTAATTATATTAATATCACATATGAAAAGAAACATGAATTAAAAAAGAAACAAATTAAATAAAAAGATCCTTCTTTTTATTATAATTTAATAATAGTAATAAAAATGAATACATTTTTATTCTTATTATTGTTATTATTATTATTATTATTATAGAAGTATCAACGATGAAAAGGAAAGAAATGAAATTATTAAACAACGCAAATACAACTAATCAAAGGATTAACGTATTCTTTTTTTTTTCTCATTCTCATTGAACTTTCAATTAATTATAATTAAAAAAATATCATGAACTAGAAGAATAAAAAATATTAACTATGAAATGATCAATGGTTTATCTCGTTCAAATACTGTTACTTTCTTTATTATTATTATAAAAATTATATTGACAATGTAATGTTTTATTCTATCTTTCTTTTTCAACAGACTAATTAGATATGAATATGATATTAAAAATAGAAAATAATTAATTACACGTATAAAGAAACAAAAGATAAAAAGAAATTGTAAATACATATATATATATATATATATAATAATTATATAATGTAATTAATATAAGAGTATTAGATATACCTTGAAAAAATTATTAATTAACCAAAAGAAATGCGTATTGTTTAAAAGACACTGAATATAAAATACGATGTACCATCCTCTTCAAAATCCAACGTTAAACTAGTCCGTAGTCCTCTTTGAAATAAACTTCTATTGAATTGTTTGTTTTTATGACTTTCCTCAAAATGAAACACTATTTATTACGTATATTATCTATGTTACCTATATGTACCATATAAGGAGTCATATATAAACAGAGATCACACACATACACACACACACAATAGAACAATTTCAAATGATGACAAATTTCTTAGAAGACAACGAGTCAAAGTTTTCATTCTAATTTTTGGTAATAACATCATCTTTAGTATTCTTACATTAACATATGGTATAATATCATGTATTAACATATGTATTTTTATATTATTTTCGAATTATTTAAAAATTATTTCAAATATATCCAAGACTCTTTTATTAAATTCATTTATTTTTATATAAAAATTACTATTTATTATTATATATTATAGATTGTTATATAATAATAATCTCATTACATACAAAACACATATATATATACATGCATACATACATAAAACATAATTAATATTTTAAACCTATTTTAATTTAAATTAAAATAATAATTATAAATCATGTCAAATTGTTTTAATAATGTTTAATTTATTATATTATTGAATATAATATTAAAGAAATTAAAATATTATATTATAAAATAAAATTGTGACAATATATTTTAATAATATTATTATTTTAATTTAAATTAAAATATATTTGTTATAATTTCATTTTATAATATAATATTTTAATTTCTTTAATATTATATTAATTAATATAATAAATCAAACATTAATAAATAAGACAATTTGACACGATTCATAATTCAAATTTGATTAATTATTATACTTTTGTTTTCATATAACTTTCATTTTCGGTAATGAAATTATTCAAAAAAATCAAAAGAATCATTTTATGTTGGTCAATACTTTCCCCTCACTCCYACTTTCTATTTTTTTTTATTTTTTTTTTTTATTTTTTCTTCGTAAAATCGTGTAATATCATTGATCTTATCCTTGAAAGAAATAAACCTAATCGTCGTCTAGGAGGATATCTACGAGAAACCATTTGCATCCGGAAAGACGACTAACTCTTTACGATCGGTAAAAGGCGATTGGTTGACCTTCAAAGACTCGTCTTATGGTTAGTCGTAGTTTTAAACTACGAAGAAAGTTCCTTTCCTTGAAAGGGACATCTTTCATCTATCTATCTATCTTTTTCTTTCTTTTACTGTTAATCTCATCATGTGATATCATAATAACTGTTTACGATATTATCGTGAAAATTGATCAAATTATTATGCAACTTCTAACATTCAATGACAATTGTTTTTTATCCTTTTTCGAGTGTACCTTCACCTTGTTCCTTTTTTTTTTTTTTTTTTTTTAATTAAATTTTTAATAATCAATTGTATTCTTTTTTTATTTTTATCATTTTCTTCAATTGTATTTTTGACCGATTGTGAGACATTTTTTTATTAGAATCGAGTTGGTTTAAACGATCGACAATGGTCCTTGAAAAAATTCTCGACTAGTCTCCATATAACATATATATAGATATAGAAAAAAAAGATAAAAGAGATTTTACGTTGTTCGTCCTTCGAAAAATCGAATCTTCTTATTGAATCGAGCAAGGATCGATATAATAGATCGAAAGAATCTTGAGGATTCCCAAGAATCGATTCTAAGTTAATACACACGATATAACACTTTATACTTTTCCTCAATAACTGCATTCAACTATTCACAAATAGAGACAAACACACATAACATACATATACACACAAAATTACACGTACACTTTAACAATAGCGTTAATTATGATGACAAACATATATCCACCCACACTAATACTTTACGCGTACACTTTAAAACATTATACTTTTGATAACGTTGACAAATATACCTACTCATACAAACACACATTTCACATATGAAATGCATATTAAGTTTACACAAACATACTCAAAAGAAGAAGAAGAATAAGAAGAAGAAGAAGAAGAAGATATATAAATGTGTAAGAAATGTATGTATCTATGTATGTGTATGTGTATTTTATTTGAGTTTGTTAGATTCATCGAAGGCACGCGACACGTACAAGTCACGCACGAACACATGCTCACACGTGAGCAGCATCCAACTTTATATTATTCTCATCCTATCTATCTATCTCTATCTCTCTTCTTACTTCTTACTTTATCTCGTAAATTAGTTTTCATTGCAACAATAGCATTGGTAGGTAAGTATACCTACATATATAGGTATAATAGTACACATCCTAATGCAAAAGACATTGAAAGGGGCCTTGCCACAAACTCAACTACTATGCTTCCGCGTTTTTAGTTTCTTCTATGTGTGCATTCTATATATATGTATATAGATATCGTCTTCTGCTTTTATTATCTTTATCTTTATCTTTCATTCTTTTGCTAGATTGTTGTATGTGATCGACAAACAACAGATAATGATGAACTTTTGTAGTTTAAATTCAACTCTTTGTATTTTCTTTTTTTATTTTTTTTTTATTTATTTCTACTCTTTCGTGTTCTCTCCCTCTCTCTCTCTCTCTCTCTCTTTCTTTCCGACTTTTTGGATTTTTTGTTCTTTTTCGTTTTTTTTTTTTTTGAGAGGAATTTTTTATTTTTTGAGAACTCGATTCAACCTTTCGTTCGAATTTTTCGTTATTCCAAATACGTTTCTTCGAACGAACAGCTGCGAATATAATTGTCTACCGATTTCACCTCGACTCGTATTATTTTTTTTTTCTTTTCTTCTTTTTTTTTTTATTTTTTTTACTTTTTGGTTTTGTGAGACAGAGAGATGATAAAGAGAGTGAGGGGAGGTAATACGTATTTGTAAAAAAAAAGATTGCAACAAAAATTTCGATTATCTTTACAGTGTGTTAAAAAATATATTTTGCGTTAGTATATATTAAATTTTTATATATTAAATTATTTAATTTATTTAATAATTAAATTTATTAATTAATTTATTCCATAATTTATTTATTAATTATTTATTTATTTATTATTATCGTATACACAAACATTCGAATTATTATTAATAATTAAAAAAGAGAAGATAATTACTAAATTGAAGACATTACTTTGTAAAACATTTATTAATTTGTCGAGAAACATTTGGATAAATTTCATGATTAAACTAACGTTGTAATAATTTTATTATGTTTGTATTTTTTTTTTTTTTTGGTTTATTTGAAGGTTTACACAAGAAACGAATGTGGCATAAGAGGACACGTGGAAGCTTACGTGGCTGCATTCGACAAACATTGGAATCTTGCATTGGAAGATTGCTTCGAGGTTTGGACACGTAAATGCAAGAGAAAAACACCTGCTGCACTTGCTGGTTGTGGTGGTAACGTTTCATTTTATTTTTATTATTATTATTATTATTGCTTATATTTTTGATTTATTTTATTTTATTTATATATTCCCACCAATATACTGATGACCCCAACCCTCTCACCTCCAACCCCATATACTTTTTTCTAGAAAAATAAAAATCAGAAATATTTTCAACGTTGTGTCAACGTTTATATAAAAATTATTAAATTATTTAATAAATATTCATTCATATAATTAAGCTTTAAATTATACACAAATGAATAAATGCAACACGAAATTTGTTTAATAAATAATTGAAATTAGTTAATCAAGTTGTTCAAAATGTCAATTTAATAAATTTCTTTTTTCTAAGATGAAGAAGAAGGGGGGAGGGAAGGGATGAAATAAAATTATTATTTTGTTATCGTTGCATTATTCATCCGATGAATATTCACATAAATTCAACTCTAATCATTTCGTTTCATTTCGTTTCATTTCGTTTCGTTTCGTTTCGAACGATGCTTTAAATTATTTCAATGTCGATCGTTATGCAATAAACAAATACCGATTTTAATTTTTGTCAATTCTCAATTTTTATTATCATCATTTATTTTTAATGTTTTTTTATTTTTCGATGATTATTTGTGTGAAAGGTTTGTAATTAAGTAAAATTGTTACTTAATTTTTATAACTTTGACATAGTTCTCGTTTTCATTTTATTTTTTTTTTTTTTGTATTTTTCTTTTCTCGATTATCTTAAAAAAAAAATTTTTTTTTACATAAATTTACGACGTACGTTTTTTGTTTCGTATATATATATATATATGTATGTATTAATCCTTGGTCGTTTAATTATGTAATAAAATTTCGATTAAGATAAGGATTCCTAATTAGTGTGAAATTAAAATTACTACTGTATTTTATTTCTTTTTTTTCTTCTTCTTTTTTTTCATCAAGCACCCAATAAATATTCTCACCTGCCCGTGTATATGTGTTTTGTTCAAAATTATGCAAATTATGCAAATATCTGTATTAATACTAATAAAAAAAAAGGAAAAAGTTTAACACCTAACAAAATTCGCTATTTCGATTCGTTTTTAACCTCACTCAGATTAACCACCGCCATTTTAATTAAAATGAAATTTCAATGACTTCTCTTAGTATTATAAGACAAAACAAAAGAAAAAAAACGGTTTAATGTATCATATGTTACGTTTACAATTATGCAAATATTCTAAACACGCGTGTGCAATAATGCGATAACGTAAAAGAAAAAAAAAAGAAGAAAAAAAAGAACTAAACGTTTGTTAAAATTAGATTCTGAATATAAACCGTTAAAGCATCGCCATTTTATTTTTATCATTACATTAATCTATCTCATAAACATGTGAGAAGTATTATACCTGTTTCCAGTTATGCAAATACCTTGGCAATGTGGTTATGTAATAAAAAAAAAAAAAAAAAAAGGAAAAGTTCGTTAGTGGTTATAAGAATTCCGACAATCTTTCTTTTTCTGTACCCTTGCATTGAAATCTCCAATTTGATGATTAGTATCTTCGTAAAACACGCACGTATTCTCTCATTATTGTTTGCTTTCAAATTATTTAAATTATAGGAGACACGTCAAATAATCAATTAAATAATAGCACATATAAAATTGTGTGTTATAAACAAACAAACAAAAAACAAACAAAGAGTATATGTAAAACGAAATTTGTTGATTAATTAAAAGATTTGTTTTCAATCAATTATCATCTTAATTACATGTTTATTTTTATTTTTATTTCTATTGGTCATCCATTAATACTAGCATAAACTAAATAATGGAAAGACATATATAAAATAATAAATTAAATAATAGTGTATATATAAAATTGTATTATAAATAAAAAAGAATGTACAACAAAATTTTCATTAATAAAAAAAAGATTTGTTTTTCAATCAATTATCATCGTAATTATATTTTTATTTTTATTTTTACTGATCATTTAACGAATACTAGCATAAATGCATTAAACATATATTTATAAATATATTATACATACGTGTTTTCAAATGTGAGTGGGAGTGTGATTGTATCTGTCTCCGTCTATCTATTTAGCTAGAGACACGTATGTGAGATACAGAGATACATATGTGTATGTGTGTGTATCAACGCGTGTATAAAAACACATTCGTAATGCAATGAATCAGATATCATTGGGATGCTAATCGGGTTTATAAAAAAGCTACGTTAAGAACCGTAACCTCCGACATTTGCTAGACGGTGACTATTATGCTTTTAGCATGATTCGACAGATCAATCGGTTGATACGGCCCTGGAAAAATCGAATCCATGCTTTGGAACATAACAATATCTATCTATATATATATGTGTATGTATTGTGTATGCATTTTTATTTGAGAGAAGTTACGAGTAATGTTTGCGCATGCGTACAAACAAGGTTAATATAATCTCAGGGAATTGAAATATTTTTCAAATAAATATTTTAATACTGTCTCTTTCTATCTAACTATTTCTGATTCAATGATTATAATATTAAATTTGAATTATATTTAATATCTTCATATCTTATTTTTATACTTTATATTTTAATATATAATATATATATATATATATATATATTTTTTTTTATATATTTAATCCAGTTTTTTTTATAACAAAAATTTTTGTTTTTGTCAAACATTTTCCAAAATCTAAATTTTTTCATATATTTATTATTATTTTCTTTTTTTTTTTAGTGAGCGTGCAATTTGTAAAAAAAGAAAATTATTTATAATACACGTGCCAACTTATCTGCTGTTTATTTTTCTTTTTCTTTTTGCTTTCTTTCTTTTGTTTCGTTATTTGTATGATTTTTTTTATTTTTTTTTTTTTATGGAACTTAGATGTTTATAAAATATAACATAATATTACACTTTGTGGTTTATTATAGGTTATTAAAACATTGGTTACGATTAACGGTAGCACGTCTGACACATATATTCTCTCTCATTGATATACGAAATTCACGTGAAGGATAGATAAGCTTATTTGAAAGTGTGTGTGTGTGTGTGTGTGAGTACGTGAGAGATTATTATATTTCGAGGTCAACGGAATAATAATGTTAGAAAAAATGTTACAAAAATATATTATTACTATTATTATTATTATTATTATATGATTATTAATGTTATCAGAATAATTTACTATAATATTATAATATAGTAGAATAAATTAAAATTTACACAATTAAATATTATATAATAAATGTGTAAATATAAATATATTTACAATATATAATATATAGTTGTAATAATAATAACAATAATGAGAATAGTGATAACTTTGAAATGACGAATTGTAATACCGTCTTACTATTGACTGATATCACTGATGACAGGTGTAACGTATTACAGGGGTGTCAAAAGGGTGGTAATAATACAATGAATATTTATCGTACAAATCAACGCTCGTTCATATCTCCAAGTATAATAATCCTTTTGACATGACAAATCTTTATTTATTTCGTATTAGTTTACACAAATGCAATCTAAAAATAGACTATAAAACGTGCAATTAGAAAAAAATTAGGATAACAAATGCAGAGGAAATGCGATACAACTTCCTTGTTAAAATAATAATAATAATAATAATAATAATAATAATAATAATAATAATAATAATAATAGTAATAGTAATATTTAAAAAAAAAAAGAAGATAGGGAAAATCATTCTAGTTATGATATACTCTCATTTACAATGTAGCCTTGATTTTTGTTAAACGTGTTTCATGAAGATAACGATAACGAATTGATAATTTCTATTCATGAATCAGTTTGAAAGGAGAAAAAAAGGGTTGCATATAAAGCAAGGTCAAATGACACGAGAAAATATTGTGTCAGAATTTCTTAGTATTTTTCTTTTTATTTATTTATTTTTTTTTTTTTTTATTGTAAAACATACTACTGAAGTGGTAGAAATCATTCATGGTCAGACAAACACCGACTACTGGTCGAAAGATTGGGAAACGTTGTCTCTCTTCTCTTAGGATATATATTGCTATTTCTATTTATGCGAATTTATATATATATATGCGTGTGCGTATATGTGATGCGTGTACGTACACATATGTAGAAACACGCGTCGAGGAAGTGAATGCCAAGTACGTTTAAATGTCTTTCTGTGATTGTGAAAGTGATTTTAACAGAAAACTATGCAAATAACGTGTTCGGAATTCTTCTTCTTTTTCTATTACTTTTTCTTTCTTTTAATTTTTTGTATTTTGTTTTTTTGGGGGTTTCTTTTCTTTTTTTTTTTTTTTAATTTTCTTTCTATTCTGTTTGGTATTTTATATATATATGTTATATTTAAATGTTGATATTATTATATGTATTTAATATAAAATAAATTTATATATAATATTTTTATATTACTTTTTATAACTTCATACTATAAGATTAAATATTATATTATATTATATTAAATATATAATAATATATATTATTTTTATTATATATATTAATTATATATATATTAATTATAATTGTATTTTAATTACTTTATTATAATTAATGTTATTAATTCAATTTTATTTTATAATTATTATTATTCGCTACTTTGACGTTTCTAATGGAAAAATAAATTTGCATTTATTTCATTTCTATTCAACAAAACGAACAATCAACTAAATTGTTCTACTTACTTTATTTTATTTTATTTTTTTTTTTTTATTTAACAAAAAACAAAGAAAAGAAAACAGTTATAATTAATCAATTCAAACCTCCCCCCCCCACACACAAAATAAAAAAATCGATTAAGAATATTATTCTTTAAGACGAAAGAAAACATTAGGAATAAAAATAATAATAATAATAATAGAGAAAAAAAAGAACACCACGAGAAAATAGGAAGAAAAAAGAAGTAAAGAATAAGAATAAAAATAAAAAAAAATAAAAAGGAAGAAAGGGCGGTAGTGGTAGTAATGGTGGTGGTGGTGGAGGAGTAAGAGAAGTCTCTGGGAGATTCATTGTGGTATCGTGCGAAGGGATACACATTCCGAGGTCAAACCTTAACGGCAGGGCAAGGACCGACCTTGACTACGAACGTGGTTGCTATGTTCGATATAAGAGATCCACGTTTCCTTTTCCCTTTCTTTCTCATTCTATATACTTCATTTTTATTTTTTTTTTTATATTTAACTTTGCGTAAGTCTTACATTTTCTTTCAGCACAAAACCCCTCATTCTATACCACCTCCCACTTCAGTTTCTCCTCTCCCAATGTCTTTCATCATTTTTTTTTTCTTTTTTTTCTTTTTATATTGTACTTCCTTTCGCCCTTTTGCGTATACTACGCAACCTCCTACCTATACTCGTGGTGCCCTACAAATTTTCTCTCTCTCTCTCTTTCTCACTTGTTTTCATTCATTCGCTACTTGACCTTCCTTCCTTCCTTCCTTCCTTTTCTTCTTTCGTTTTGCAACATACAAAATGTAGTATACCGTTATATATATATAGGTGTGTGTGTGTGTGTGTGTGTTCACGTAAGCGTGGTAAAATTATTAAGGTTATTAAAGAACAAAATTAATACTAATAAACAAAAGAAACTTTTCGATAATACAAATCCAAATTACATTAATTTCGTTGTAATTATATTTGTTCAACAAAATAATTTGCAACATATATATATATTATATATAAAATAAATTTATATTATATATATATATAATTTAATATATTTATTTATTTGATATATTTTATATACCAGTTCGAATAAAAATATCTAATCGATGATAATAAGTAGAAATATTTTATTAATAACATCCCCACATTTTTTTTTTCTAATTATTAAATTATCAACTACTCTCCCTTTTAATAAAACAAATTAATATTATCCGATATAATATTAAATCACATATCGTCAAATTAAAATATTTCCACCCTTGTTTTTTTCTTAACTCATCACGTACATTAACCCCTTTCCATCCCCTATTACTTTTGATAAAATTTAAAATAACAAATATAAAATATGAAGTAGGTAAATACGGAAACCGCGAAAGAGTATGAAAGTCGATTGGCCTACTGACGTACTTCGAAGTATCCTGAGGGGTCGAGAGGTCGTTGATACGTTCAATGTGTTGAGAGAACGGGGAGGAAAGGGGGAGGAAGAGGAGAAGGAGGAGGAGGAAGAGGAGGAGGAGGAGGAGTGCGCTGGTAAGCAAGACGACCTTGAAGAGCACCAGTTCCAGGATCGATGTCTGCCTCGTACACGTGTCTCGCCGCCTCCACCTCTTTATTTCCCTCAGCCCCCCTCACCCACACCCACACCCCTTCTTTAACCCTCTTCTTCCTTTCTCCTACCCCCGTTCGTCCCTTATCCCAGATCCTCCCTTCGAAAGGGACCCTGCGTCGTAGTAGTCCTTCTCCTCCTACTCTTCCTCATCTTTTCTGACCTCTCCTCACTCCCACAACCTCACCCCACCCACCCCTTTTGTGACACCACTTCTCTTCTTATTTCCCCCTTTTTGTGTGCTTGTTTTATGGACACACGCCGAGACACGTAAACAAACTTTCGAGTTCACCTCCACCCACCCCTATTCCCCTACTCACCCCCATCACCCGATCGCGAAAATCGAAAGACTAATGTTTGGAGGGATGACATTTTTTTGTGTCATTTTTTTTCCGGTCCTGTTTTGAACTTTTCTCTAACTTCATTGGACGAGCAGTTGAATAAAAAATTTAAATATGATAAATGAATTTTTAATGAATTTTTAATAAATGTATCTTATGTTTGTACGTATGCGTGTGTTGTTTTTGTTTTTAGGAGTGGTTTGTTTTATTAATGTAAGAATTTTTTTTTTTTTTTTTTAAAGGTATGAATGGTAAGGGGTTAAAGAGTAACCCCTTATATAAAATATTTTTCATAAAAATATATATTATTATAAATATTTATAAATATTATTATTATTATTATTATTATAAAATATATTTTTATTAATTAAATTATTAAATATTAATAAAAAAAAATATGTGTTTCATGTTACAATAACTATGTTAAAAAAGAAAAAACGAAGATTAATAATAATCATAATATACAATAATAATTATAATAAATAATAATAAAAAATATTTCAAATATATTAATCATGCTTATTCTTTTTACTTGTCAGATATAACAGATAATGAAAATATAACTAGAATAATGACGATGATGATGGAAAGAGAACAAAGAGAAATGGAAAAGAAAGAAAAGGAAAAGGAAGAGGAAGAAAAGAAAAAGGAGAAAGAGAAAGAACAAGTGGAGGAGGAGGAGGAGGAGGAGGGGAGAACTACGTTCGTTCCTAAGGTAGTCTTGAAAAAGATCGAAGGAAAGACAGAGACCTTGGAGAGGCACGTGCCACAAATGTTACTAAGGGGCGAACAGGTCGCCATAATTGTCAAAATCAATTGAGTTATATTGTCGTCACATACTACGTGTTACAACGTCATTCTTAACCCCATTTTATATACCACATTTTCATAATAATTTATATATATATGTATTATATATATCTATATAAAAAGAAATATATATATAGGAATAAAATGTTGGATACAATTTATTACAACTCTATCGTGTTCATATTTTTCATCATTTTATATATATATAAAATATGTTTATGTATTTAATAACTTTATTAAAAAAAGTGACAGAAAAAAACCAAAAAATGTAATTTAATAATTACCATCTTAATTTTATTATCTTAATTAATAATAGCAGGACACAATTATTATTTAAGAATATTTTGGAAACGTTATAAATATTTTAATTTTTTTCTATATTTTTTTTTTTTTCTTAAATATTCTAATTTTTTTTTCTACGATTTTTTTTTATTATTTTTTTTTTATTTAAATATTAAATTTAATATTTCATTTTTAAAAATATCATTTTATTCGACTATCAATTGACGATATTTTTTTTTTTTTTTAATATTTCCTAGTTTGCAACGAAATTTAACACGCATTTAAATATTCCCACCCACTCATTCTGTTTTAATTATCATAACCAATAAGATAAAATAAAAAGGAATGATTACAAAAATTTCGCAAAAACATACGAACACATTATTTTAATATCCAATACAAGGATTTCAATGCTAGACAATAAAATAAAATAAAATGAAAAAAATAAAAAATAAAAAATAAAAATGGAAAAACACAATGTTGAATTAATCTACATCGTCAATGTTTGGCCTTCGAATTGAACACACATAACACAAATAATACTCATGCACACACATATACATATACAGAGCTAGACAGAAAGCAACAGCAGCAATAGCAGCAGGAGCAGCAGACAAACAACACAAACACATAGAAAATGTATAAAACACATGGAGAAATATACTCGTAACGTGGTATAATAATCATGTGCGCCGATTAGAATGGAAGACGTATACCGACGAAGATCTTATAGCTGATTTATAGCGTGACCAACGACGAGGAAGTTACAACGGAAGAAAGTCGGATTCGTAATTATTGTGCCTTTTGCTGTGTATAACACAAACAACTTTTAAAACCTGGGAGACGAATGTTGCTCTTACTGCAGCTGCTGCTGTTCCTGTTGCTGTTGCTGTTGCAGTTGCTGCTTTTTCTTCCGTACCAAACGATTACATTTTTTCTTTTTTTCTTTCTATTTCTAAGAGACCGATGTAATGCACCAAGAATAAGAAAGTGTTTTATTATTTCAAGTGTAATACCCCAAGATTCTTTTAATAGACTGTTTTTTGGATCTCCTTTTCTACGTAATTTCAATGATTTCGTTTGAACGCAATTTTTTATTTCTATTTTCTTTTTTTTATTTTTTTTTTTTTTATTTATTGTTAAAACACAATTAGGAAAATTATTTTCTACGATTTTATCTATTTGCAAATTTATTGAATTTTCAAATCCTATTATTATTAGGAAGAAAAATAACAAATATTTCGAGATAGCTAATTTTTATTTTTTTTTTTTGACAAACCCAATATTTATCACAAAAATATTTTTCGTTATTAGATCAACTATCATAAAATACATATCCTTCGCAATTTTCTTAATTATTTCATAAAGTAATTTGAAAATTGATACTTATCAAACTTCAAAACACAACACACACATCTCTTTCTCTCTCTCTCTCTCTCTCTGAAAATCGATTCAAAAAACCAAATATATAAATCAATCAATCAATCAATCAATTATCTAATAATATCAAGAATCAATAAGAAAGAAAAACCACCGATCAATATTAAACAAAACAAAACAAAACAAAATACTAAAAAAAATCATCCTAAATAAATAAATAAAATGAATCATATTCTTTTTCATGAAAATATCCTTTTATCAATATATATTTGCAACCACAAAGACGATCCGATCCCTTTTTCCTCAGATGGATCGTGATCAAGCTTAGAAATCATTACCTTCTTCGTTTCTGCGTTGCAGAAAAGTGCATATAGTCGGGCCACGGTGAAAGCAAGCAAGCAAACCAAGCAAACCAAGCAAACCAAACCAACCAAACCAA